ATAAACTCTACACTTGCTGCTGTAGGAATACAGTTCACTAACTAAATAAGATAGGCAACTTTGATTACCTGCCAATTATCGAATCTGAAATAAATATAATTTGAGAGGAGCGAGTATCAAAAATTGAAATCTTGAAACTAAACTACTTTATAATCAGTTTCACCCAAATTTACTAGCATTTTACACATTTACTCTCTGTGAATAAGTCTGTTTTACGGGCAAAATGCCTTTTAGTCGAAATGCCAACACTTGCATTTTTAACTTGATTTAAATTACACTGTAAATGATTTATTCATTTTATTCAAATTGCAAAGCGAACCAAAGTTAAAATAGACGGGAGATGTGTTACTTTTAAATTGTTAGTAGTTCAAATATTTCAACGAAATTCACTTCCAGCAAACAAATGAATGTCCACTGGCCACAATTTTGTTAGGTACTTAATATATGGATAAGTTTTTTAATCGAGGACTGGCTTTTGTATAGACCCACGAGTTTTATTTTAGACTTTCATTTCTTATCAGTTTTGTTATGCTTAGTTATTCCTCTTATTCTGCATTATGTCGTAAGCGTTATTATTTATTTTATTTATTTAAACACATAAACACTGATACAAGGAGGCACCAAATAGATATGCGCCACATAAATCATTCGATTTATATGAGGGCTGGGATACTGCGCGGATGCCTAGACCGAAACAGGTGATTTTCTTAGGGAGTCACACATCGAGCCTTGGACCTAAAGGTCTGATCCACAAGGCAATGGAGCATCGTGAGGAGATGCAGTCCCATGTTACCCGGTGACCACCGATTGGTTCATACGCCATTTGTTCCTTCAGGATACTGGAGCCCATATGGACCATTGATTTGGGATCTGGTTAAAGCGCCGGAGTTTCGCTTTCCGTCCTCTCAATTTCGTAAACAACACTCCCGCCACGCGAAAGCAGTGAGTAGGACTTTCCTGGCAGAGGCTTATACGTGTGGCCGTGTGAGAGCATTTAGAGAGAGAGGGCAGGCCCACCTCACCCTCGGCCTTGGCAGGGCATTTGGGGGAGTACCTCACATTATGGCTAACAAAACGAAGCACATTTAGTTCATCATCCATAATTTCTTTATAAACTGAAAGAAATGTTAAGGTAGTTAAAATAAGTTTATTTATACCACAGAGGTCTCTGAACCCAAGCTGCTTACTTATCTAGTAGAATCGTGTCTAAGTTATCTAATATACCTTATTCGAATAGGAAATATATAAAATGCTAATTTCATAATGTGAATTCATATCTTAAACCCACGTTGTTTATTGTGATGTAGACAAAGAATTTTTAAACCTATTTACGGATATCAGGTGTGTGCTTAGATGATTTTTAGATTGCTTATGGAGATCACTGTGATGTTTAAATGAACTAACGATTCCTCTGCACTTGTTGAATACTTGATTTCGAATTCCGAATACATTACACTCCTTCGTGCTTATCTAGTAATTCTTGATGCAATTGGGTTATTTCTGAGATTCTTAGTTCGTATTATAATTCAAATACTCCTAAATATCACAATCATCTTGTGGAGGTAGGTCTGACAAGCTAATTTTGTGAATAGTTTTTAACACTATTGGTATTTATTTTGTCAATTTCTCACTTCATGTACATTTATCATTAAATGATTGTACCTGTTGTTTTAGTAAATGACCTTGAAGACTTTTTCCGTTGTGATACTACATAGCGTGACATGTCGTTGCTGGTTAACAAATACACTGCTTCTCACACATCCCTCGTTTTATTTTCATTCGAGATTGAGTTAACTGAGATCTAAAACAAATATTATTTACATTCATAGACTGTGAGAACGAATACACCATACCTTACTTTGGATTACACCACTGGGGATTTCATCAATACGTTTGGAATTACCAAGCATCTATAACTATGGATTTATTGTACCAGATTAAAGCTGAACACGCATCAATTTGGGTGAACTTAAGTAAAGTCCCATTTTTATTGTATTTGTAACATTTAACTGATATATATTAATATTACTATTGCTTTTTATTAACTTTGTTAATACTTTTTGTGTTTATATATCGTCTGGTCCACCACAGACTTTCATATTCTGTCATACGCAAAGGATCTCAAGATTTGGAGGTTCCAGGTTAAACTAATATTTTACTTCATTGAATACTTCAAATAGAACACAAAACAGAACCCACATAAGCTTCCTATCAATACCGAGGTGTGTTCTTGTGGATTAGTACTGATAATTCATGTATTTCTGGATGTGTCCTAGAAAAATCATCAATCAGCCTAAACCATTTATACATTAAATGTTTAATCACTGACTGTTTAACGGTCTATTGAATATTGTCAACGCCAAGGATGACTAACGACAATTAATCAATTGAATATAATGAACAAGCTCGTGAGGCAAAGATCACAATGTGTTTCCCCAGCTTATCCTAACTGAAGGTAGTATTATTATTATTGGCTTTACTCAATGTTATGTTTTCGGTACTATATAAAATTGCCAATACAAATTACTTAAACAAGTTTCCTTTACAAAAGCTAGACAAACTGATAACTTAATACACGTGTACATAAATTCAGTAAATAACCTAACTGAAATTAAATTAAATGTTTTTGAAAAGATAAGAATCAGTACAAATTTCAAATTAGAAATTGGTCTCGAACTACATGTCATTGATTAGGTCACTTCTAACAACTTGTTCATCACACAGCATATTCACTAGATAATGTATGGTAAAATTCATATATTTTTATTTATGCGGACAAATTCTAATGTATTGGCGACTCATTCTACCAGGAAATACACAATGAGAAAGGTGTGGATAAGCGTGATGGATAGTATTTGAAAGATAACACTTGCTAAGATTTCGCAGGATTTTAAATTTTTATCCAGAACCATATTCATGATGCCCTCAAAAGATTCACGACACACCATGCGAATTGCCTCCAGTTCTTTTTGTGAAACAGAGAAATTTATCATCAATGATGGAGAATAGTAAAGAATAATAAGTGATTAGCGATGATTCACGCGTTGTGAAAGTAAACGTTGAGTAATGTGAAAAGCATGCAACCTCTCTATGTAGTAAGTCAGAAGAAAATCTTTTTTATAACAGTTGAGCAGGAAAAGACAAAGAGAAACCGGAGAAAATAATTACACCCACATAAATGACTTTCTACACTTTTTTATTGAAGAATTTTTAATAATACAGGCTCAATCGGATTCCAACAGGTTGTTTAAGTGCTGTTTACGTCTCAGACTAAAGTTAATGGTTATACATTTGGAAGGATTGAGCGTAAACGGTTAAAAACAGGTTATCTTTTATTGTGTAACTAAAACTCATTTGGAGATGTGAGGAGGTAAATATCGGAATACATATATTGAGATTGCTCGCATTCCCAACTAAATTGTATGCTGTAGAAAATGGCAGCTCATTCAGAAAAGGATAGGGGAGAAACAGCTCCTTAGGACACATATTCTTGAGTTAGTAGAGACGTTGATAACATAAACATAATTGTAATTCCTCAAGTGTTTTGTACGGTATCTTAAAGTTTAACAGTTGATAGGGTTGTTTGAGAACTTAAACCGCTCAGAGGTAGATCTACATCAGTTCACATATACAAATGTACCTACAATGTCGTCATATCTCTTCTCATTGCTTGATCTATCGTAAAATCTTGTAGTGATATTAAGCAATCTTTGCGTAACTCATTTAAACAGGATTCTTAAATTGCAATTGTACCACAATTTTGATAAATGTTTGAACTTAGTAGGAAGTGGAGATTATCTTACTAATAGATTATCTGGAGTTAGAAGTTAGCAATATAGGACTCGACAAGCGATTAGTGCCCATTCTTTTCAACTGACATTCCCAGCCACCACTTGGACTTTGCTTGTACTCTTTTGTACCTTGCAAAGCGATATGTCGTAAAATGTTCGTGTACGCTCTTAAATAGGTTATATAATTAACAGGCATAACATTATGTCGAAACAAACAAAAAGATAACTCGTTGACACATTTAGATGAAAGTGACAGATAGTCCATTCAAACAGGTGGCATGTTTGAACTTATAAGAGCGATCAACGACAGTTATTAACCTCGAGGTGTGACTTCTATATAAGCAAAGAGGTCACATCACTCCCATCTTGCTCGAGTAGACCTCCATTATTGAAACGGATAACCTATCTTTGGTGATCTAAAATGCTGACGCCACACCCTTTCCCATGGAAAAGTATCTAAACATCAGTCCGTTTGATACTGTTTTTTCTATTGACATCCCTTAAACAAGAAAGAACATACGTTCTTAAGATTTCTTTCCAGAGCAATGCATAGTTCCACCTATGTTGTTAAAAGTCATTTTGCCTTCCAGTTTCAGAGTAAACACAAAAACAACAACCATGCCTTTTATTATCAAGAGCGTTTCTTTCAACCCGACTGAAGATTCCATAGCTCTCTAGCTCCGTGACCTGAAGTTTGATGTTCGGAGTGTAAACCACCTCCCTCTTAGACAAGCTATCTGACGCATGTCTCGTGATTTACCATGGTTGTCCCATCAGCAACTACTCCCTCTTCCTATTATTCACATCTTCGTTTCCCCTTTTATTCGTGAAATCCCGTCTCCTCATAATGTCTGAATTACCAACTATTAAATTTATTTACCACTGAAACAATTGTTTTCTCTTAACACTTAAATCACCACTTTATTATTTCCATATCGTAATCGACCAACCTTCTGCCTGGTAATGTGGTAGTTTCTGGTTTCACGAAACCTTACTGTCCTGAAACAAACGCACTCACTCAAATTACAAAATCTACAAATATCTACTCCACTGACTAGAATTAGTCAAGTTGATTGGCCAGACTACCTCAAGTTGCCCATTATCAAGTACCTATAACTGTGACGAAAGAAAAAGAAGCGATTGCAAAGCAATCATTGGGTTTATACAAGCTCGTGAGGAATATATTGGGTATTGGATACGTCCGCACTTACTTTGAATGATCAAGGTCACTGAAACCAGAAGAGGCAAGATCTCAACTAATCAATCGGTTTAAATTAATCGCTCGTGCTAACTTACTAAAGCTCACGCTTTTTGCCTTTTTTATTCAGACACTTCTGGTGGTTCAGTGAGCTCCAACCTCTAAACTCACATTTTTTCAACTGTGTACGTTAGCTTAGAAGTTAACCGCTCGGTATTGCGAATGATGGACTAGCCGTTTCTGCTTCCCCCCAAAATGCGAGATATTGGTAAGAAAAAGTGATTATTATTTGACTGTAGTCCGAGAAGCGCGCTTTTTTTGCTTACAAGTTGCAAACTGGAGATGAATATTTTGAGACGTAAGACTCAGTTACAAATCTCGGGGTTAAATTGGAGCCGAAAACAACATTATCAGAACTTCGAGCTCCAAGGTCTCTGTTCAGTTTGCTCTTTCGACGCTGACTGGGTTCAAGTCCGAATGTTTGAATATGTGGTGTGCAGATGTTATTTTTACTGCCCGGTTGCACAATCCAAAGTATGTTGAACGAGTATAAACCCATTACATACATTGATGTATCGTACCTCAATCATCATATCACGGCTCATAAGGATTCCGTCTTGACTTTTAAGAGAGTAAAGACATTTTTTACCGCAAATATATCTTTGTGTATCCATTCTAAGTAATTTTATTTCCTACCTAGATGAGAACGTTGCTTTTGCCTCACTTTACAATAATCAATTCGGATTAATATTTGGACGTTCTGAGTGAGTTCGTTTCACTTTTAAAAAAACCTAGATATTTGTTTCCTCAATAAAACCATGTTACCTAAACGCTATTCTAGACTTGTTAAAAACATGGTAAAACATGTCTACAGATTTAGGGTAAATACTAGATAGATCAGTCAAAACTACATTCTTGTTTTCTCTAGGCCATGCTCATCCTTAACTTAACTCTGTATAAATTTTAGGAAGATATTTAAGACATCTTGAGTGTTAAAAAAATAAATAAATTTCGAAAGTATACTTTTTCTATTCGTTTTATACCTCGAACGGTTTGAAGTAATTAAATGGAGGATAATGTCATTATGCTTATCAAAATAGTTATTGGGAAACATATTCAACAATTGACAGGTTACATAGTACCTAATAAATGAACCAGCTGAATACTTCTATGACAAGATTTTTACAATGGTCATATAGACGAAAAAAGAATGAGAATATTTGGTAATAAGAAAACGTAAGTTCTGTTTTAAACTGCTCTAGTATGACCTTTTCAGTAACCAAAGTACAGGGGTTGTACAAACTTATGAATATCCGTTCCGATACCTTCACTAATAAGTAAAGAAAGGGTCTGTAAACAATGCGATATATTTGCTGAAATACAGTTGATAACTTGACGAGCCTAATTCATATGAAATTAGTGCCCGGTATCAATCAGCCTTGAATATCCTTCACTCAGCCAGATTGGACGATGCGGAAAACTGAGTTGTGCGCCATATATGATTAACTTAAGAGTAGTTGGACAGATACACCCACGTAAGCAGTAAATTCAGGCCGTTTTTCCTCATTAACGGTTGTCATTATCAGAAAACTGCGAAAAAATCACTGCGTTTGGCTGCGGTAAACGTCCTTGTATATTCTTTCCTAACCCTCGTGTTGGTATCTTATGGTCATCGTTTCGGTATTATGGCTTCAAAAACAGTGAATAGTACTATTTTCTTTGCAGTTTTGTGCCATGTGTAACTTGAATGCGTACCTTTATGTGGATTCATACGTTTCTTTAGTGTTTCCTACGAATGACCATAGAATGAAAAAGTGGGAATTATGGAAACGGCTCGATTCATTATAAAAAAGATTGATCATTTACCGAAAACAATATAGTCGATTTGTCCACCTTCCTCACACACCAGCCATTGTCTGTTAGTCTTGTTACTCATAACTGCCGTTCTGATCTTCTAGTCTTAAGCCCTCAGTATATCACTTCAATCATTCATATGTTTATCATGGTTTTCTGAATTTCACTATAAGTAGTAGAGGACAAACAGGTTGACAGTAGGCCAATTAATTCCATCTGTTTTGTTCCTTCTCATAATGTCTTTTACTATGAGGTCATCATACTCATATCTTTCTCGATATTTGAACCCTTCTTCTGCTTTTCCAATTAAGTATTCGCGAATTTATATTTCCAGCATATGTTTGTTTTATCCGTTTCAGTAGCCACAGCCACCACTACTATTTCTTGTTATTTTTGAAGAAGCTCCTGATAGCATTAAAAGTATGATGTTCCTCGGATTCTTACTATACATTTTAAAGCACTGACTGCCTCTGACTAGTTTAGATTCAAATAACAGATTAAATGCAAGTAACCCATCATATCACCTGTGAACAAAGTTATTGACCAGTAATTTATACACCTAAACATTGGTACAAGAAGGCACCAAATTTATTCCTGTTCCTCTTATTATGAGCTTTATTTTGACCTATGAACTGTTATTATACCATTTACCATTCTTGAGTTATGCCCTGTCTATCGATTGCTCCCCCCCCCACATTCACAGCCACATTTGGCTAAATCTTGTAAAAATGTTGTTTCCTATTTTATGTTACGATGTGGTCTGTTTTGTTGCTATATAAACCCAGTATGTTTGAAATACATGATTCATATCACAGAGTCTGAGATTGGCGTTCTAGACTTAACAGGCAGGGCTAGGCGGGAAGCAGGATCGCTAAGGACTCTAGACTGCTCGCATAGGTTTTATGCGTCATTGGTCCGGTCGATAATTCACTGTTCCCTAATTGGCGGTATCTTTACGTCATACACTGATAGGGGCACAAACCCACAAGTTATAATAGTAGCAATATCTTTTTAGAAAAAGGTAAATGTATAGCCTGAATAGAATTATGTCGCTAGAGGGAAATAATTTTTCATGGAAGGGTAACAGACTCGTGTTTATAATGCGTACTAGTAAAGTTGGATTAGGAATATGAAGACCCTATTGTTAACCAAGGTAAATTACGGGATTGGATTTATCCGTCTTTTACATGTCAGGTTTCCCTTAGTTCATACGAAATACTACCACTATATTGATTATGTTTAATGGTACTCATTTGGGCATATTAATTGGGGCCTGACTGAAAAAAGCATGTTCATCCTCAATATGTCATCAATTTTCGATTAGTTGGGAAAGAATCACAATTTATAGACCTAGTGATGTCTTTCTAACCATGCCAGTACGTGTTCTTGAGTTTGCAAGAAAAAAGCTCTTTGATTGCTGTTTCTATCGGAGCATTTAGATTGTTAAACACAAAGATGAGCTGCTGATTGATATCTTATGCTTCGTTTGTTGTATCAGTATCAAGTTAGTTGAGAAGGCAAATATTGATGCAGAATAGTATGAATTCATTTTGAGGTTTCTCGTCAGCTGCCCACAACCAAATATGTATTAGGATTTAACATTGAGGTAAGAAATAGTGTGAAACACTTGACATAATTGAATGTAAATAAGTGGAATGACAAAGGTTATCAATAACAACTAAATATATGTACAAGAACAGGTCAGAGGTTATTTGATGTTAGAATCAAGCAAACATTAAGGATGGGTGGTGTAATAGTTGAGTGGAGTTCAGAGACATAAGATAAATTGTGATAATTTTAGAGGTAATGAAGGATGCATGAAATAAAAAACGGATAAGATGGGTTGCGCAATAATTTGATAGAATTTGAAGAGTTCACATAATTTAAGAGAATCAAGTGAGCAGAAATGTCTGAATGAAAGGGTGGTTTAAGAATTCTGTAATGGGAGAGGAATATAACACAAACTAAATATTTTACGAAATAAATACAATAACACTGATAAGCAAAAAACAAAAAAATGGATTACCAGGGTAATAATAAGTTTATTACTGTCTCTTTTTGAATACATAAATCCGATTTAAGTTTTTTTTATCGCAATCGCTTAAGCAAAACGAAGAGCAGCCGTACTTCTTTGTCTGCTAATAATTTTAAAAGCATGCGGTATGTCGATGGTGTGCCTGGTGTCAAGTAAATGTTGAGCTATTGCACTATTGAGAGCCCTAGTCCCTCGCAGCCTCAATTTCTTTAGAACATGCTCAGAAATGCGAACATGTGCTCTTCTCTCAGTTCTTCCAATGCATACATCAAATGTTTCATACTATTTATTACTTCAATGTTAAATTCTGATACATATTTGGTTGTAAGCTGCTGAAGAGAAACCTCGAAATAAAATAGATTCATACTATTCTACATCAATATTTGTTCTGGCTTTATTTAAATTCACGAAAAGAACTAATTGCATGAAATTTTAGTGTTCCATTTTTGTTGAATTCCTTGTCTTGTGTCGTTGAAAAGTGTAGAAACCCAAACTGACTCTATTCCATGTAGCGTTTCATTTTTTTTACTTGTGTAATAATGTGAATAAATATAAATGTAACAAAATTTATGAAGCTGAGGTGTATTCACTGAGATTACCTGCCATAAAGATAGAGTTGCTAAGGCATTCATTTAAATGGTTTTGTAAATTTAATCAGTTTGAAGACTTTTAATTATAACCAGAATCCCATTGGTTCACTGAAAGATACACCCAAAACTGTTCAATAGTAGTTCTCCACTTCAACGCCCCTTACGTCAAACATAGTATACCACTAATTGTTTTGTACTGTTCAGTTGAAGAAATTAAGAACTTGATGACTGCAACAGCAGGTTGCTTTCAAATTTCTTTGGTCATTTGTAGTCATTTTGAAATTAAAGCAGTTTTCAAACAGTATTTTGTTGTCTGTGGCATTCATTGATATTTGTAGTGTCAGTATGTTAGTATACCCGCATAATTTTAAATAAAGTAACTATATTTTTGTACTCTCTGCTAGAAGTATTAATTTGGCAGCTTCTACCTCTGTGATTGAAGGACTTCCTGATGAACAGAGGACATCTCCAGTTCGACGCACATTTCTGCTTGCTGTTCTTTTCGACATTATTCTAAGTTTTATTCTGTGGATTATATATACTAAAGTAAGAACTAGCTAAACTTTCGTCATTATTTGTGATTCAATCAAAAGTTTGCAAAAAGTTTCCTTGTTCAGCAGTCATTTCATTCGTCTCCCCCCTCATTAATATAAATGTCAAAAAACTGCTAGACCATCTGTTTCTACTTAAAAATAGCAATGTTTAGCCACTCATGTCAAATTGAAAAAAGCCTCTGTAATGTTAGTGCATAGTTTTATTGTAAGATTATGTCCGGTTCACTTTACTCCGCCGAGAATGTAATCTTTCATCGAAATCACATGCCGCAGTTTCAAAGATCTCACAAACAGTTAAAAGTAATGTAAAGTACGACAACATTCAATTCTGTTGTTTGACTGTTATACATAACGTTTATTGTTCAGATACATGAAAAATTACTAGTGATTGATTATCTCTTGATTAAAAATTTTGATCTCATCTCATAAAATCGTTAGGTAAACATTACCAATGTAGTCTATTGTAAAGAGTAGGGTTACTAAGCCACTTTTCAGATATTGGTTTGTCAGTACTGAAACGAGAAAAAATGCAACGATTCGTAGTAGTTAGATAAAAATGTAAGCGCAAGCCATGAGATATTGGTTAGTCTGAAGCATATAGGAATGTGTCAGAAATCACTGTTTTATCATTAAGTGGACGAAATTAGTTACATGTTAGTTGCAAAATGATTGTATGATATGTTGGTCACTGCTTTCACACTATTTCTCTCGGTTGTATCTATTTGAAATTAAATCATCTGCATTTGTAATTGTTTTTAACGTTTCATTTGTAGTCATTTTAAGTTTTGTTCCAATATTTTAGTAAGGTGATCTAAATTATTCATTTCATGTTTACGGATAAACCAAAAATTAATATAATATTTCGGTTATTGTTGATTGATGAATCAATCTTTTAGCCAATCATCATTTTAATTCCTTTTCATTACTGTATTGGTTTCAGCAAACGTATCCTCTCAGTATTGGTGATGCAATGTTGGAAGAAATAAAAAATTATGATTTCTCTAAATCACTTTTCGATACAGTTGTGAGTATTTTCTACTAGGATTTAACTTTATCTATGAACAGTATTTTAAATTTCAAGCTTCATTCTATGTTTATGTCTACTAACCGCTTTTTTATCTAGCCCGATTTACTGTAAACAGGTTGTGTACTGTTAGCTAAGAGCTAGAAGTTGGTTTTTAATGGAAACTGAGGTAAGCGGAGCATGTATTACCTATATTTACCTATCTCGAGCTTTCTAGTGCTAATTGAAATGAGACGTTTTTGTGAGAGAAAGTTTTAGGTCACTCTATCCATTTACTGAATTGAGATTGGAATTTATTGTCAGTTATGGATTAGTAAATAAAAACTTAAACCACCGATCATTTCTGTGGTAGATTCACAGGTAGGTGTTTTAGTTGTTTATGAAACATAGGAAGATTAGTTTCTTCACAGCGTGTTGCCGTCAATTACAGTAATATGAGTTCATTTGTTCTTCATACTGATGCTATTAATCGACACACTATTTAGTATTCGACTGTTTCTGTTATTAATTTTTATTCATCAATTGCATTCCTCCTAATTTGATATTATTATTCTTATCAATATTATTATTACTGTTATTGATGTTCTGTCCTTGGTTTCATTTTGTGTTGTTTTGGATGCCACTGAATCAAGTTAACAAACATTTCGCCCCATGCCTCGCTGTTTTGTCTGGTGATTTTATCTTGGGTCTCAGGTACTTCACTGAAATGTAGGATTCTCAATATATATATATATATCCACTTGTTTATTCAAAGAATAAATTCTTCCACTTTCATTAAAGATTAGTTGCAAAACTGCAAAATCCAAAGTTATAAGATTTTTCAGAAATTACATACTCGTATTATTAAACATACAGATTATTTGTTACTTTGTTAATATTAAGTAACTATGAATTACTTTTACTGGTTAAAAAATTTACCTTCTAGCTTGAATTGTTTGTTTTTTTGTTATTGGTTGTCTTGACAATTCATTGCTTTGAAATTATTGTATTCATTTTGATGATTGGGTTAAATGTCCTCACTTTTGCCCAGTTAAAATCCTAGTTATAACCGTCTGAATTCATTATTTATTTCCGATAAAAGGAATGAATTCTCTTTGCACTAGCTACCACTAACACCGAACTAAGACAAAGTCCTTTTCATCTAGCCTCAACTAGTCCACAAGATAAAGTCCACTAGTGACGAGGATTTGTAGATCGTCCACAGGTTGTCTTTACACAGTCACTGTATATAAATATTTTTCCATGTCTTTGAAAGCACTGTAATAAAACACAGCATTTAAAGGTCAGCAAAGCAGTAATATCAAAGCGTCTTTAACTCTGATAAAAGGAATAAACTGTATTAGGAGTAGTATCTATTCGGTTTTTTGACTTGTACTGATTAGCCGAAGACTAGTCAGTCAGCATTTCCAGATTTCAGCTTGGATTTTCTATCAATCTGATTATAGTCTTGCTCGATTGAAGTAAATGATTCTTCAGTGCAGGCAATCGTTTCTTCTGACTTATATGTTAAAATGTGAAATATCACTGGTTCAATCCTTAAGGAAATGTCACATGGAAATCACTTTTAGACTGGTATCTATAAAAATTTATCACGGTGAGTGTTGATTTATTAATGTATTGTTAGGTTAGACACACAAATAATCTGTCTACATCATGGTAGCATAACGTGTAAAATCTTTCATTTTATAAATCCACCAACACTTAATGGTTGAATTCAGAAATATTGGCTTTATGAAATTAGATCTTACTAACTAAAAAGAATTATTATTATTTTAGACTACAAATTGTATCCTTCCATTACTATACTAATAATTAGTACTTGTTGGGTGACAATTATTAAATGTCTTTAGAAGATGACTCAAGTCATATCTCAATTTCAACATTTTATCTTATCATGCTGAGCCATCTTTTCCCAATGATGTTTTCCCTATATATCTTTTGATGAATACTTAAGCCATTAACAATCAAACGATTATTAAACTTTCCTTGTTTAAAAGTTTTTTTTAATACCTTTGTTTATTTAACTTCATTGTCACCATGTCTAACAGTTTATTATCAGTATTATTATCATCCTGTAAAATAAGTATATATATTTGCGATTGTACAGCCTTGAAAATGAATTCGCCGAAAAGAGAACTCTTCACTGAACTAGTCTTTCTTATTTAAAATCAGTTAAGTCGTAATGTACTTAATAATAATGTTGATCTAAACAGAGATGGATGGTAGCTAGCAGTGTAGTCCAGGATGCGCGTTTTGTCCTATTTGAGACTCGTCAGCGGAATGTTACTGCAACCCAGAGTTGTTGTTCACTCCGGGACTCGATAACTTTAAGTAATATTTCCTATTTGTTGTAATAATATTGTGAGTATATATAAAACTTAAGGTAATACCAAAGTTTTTAATCACTATAACCGGCAAATAAAAAAAACCTGTTAAATGTTACTTAAATTATTACTGACATTATTTTTTGTAACGTTTCTATCGGAGTCATCTATTTTATCATTTCTCCTGAATGAACTTTAAACATTTGTATTTCTTTCCTTTTTATGATCAATTTTTTAAGTATATTTAATCATGCATAATTTGACTAACCTGTTTGATTTAAATCCTGCAAATCAGTGGGGAATGACATACATAATCAATGATTTCATAAGCGTTTCACCTTTCAAACATCATAAAGTCTGGTGTTTAGTTAATTCTATCCACATGTCGATTTATCTCGTGCATATGACTCAAATTATGTGTAAAATTGGTTTGCTTCATTTCAAAAGTATAATAAATGCCTTGTGTTTTAGCATGCCTGTTTCATGCCATAACCATTGTAATTGTAGGTGTCGAAATTTGAATCAACTAAAAACTGTTAAGGATATTTGTATTTTGTTTAATATACAAATTTGTCTGTATGACAAGACTGAAAACAATAGAAGACTGATATGAGTCTCAGTAATTTATTGAAGTTAACGATGTTAAAGTGAATCATGTAATTTAGTTTTATTAAAAAGAGAACCTATATTTAGAGCTGTTTAAAGGATTAATGCCTAAACCATCTATTATTTTGAGACTTGAACGGCTCTCATAAATTTTAGAAGAACAATCATCTCTTATAATTTTTGTACTGTAAATGGTTGAGTATGAAATTCTAGTCGAAAAATTTATGGTCGTTAATGACAGTGTTCTGTAACTTTTAAAGTGTTTACTAAGATATGCAAATTAAATAGTGAATAATGGTCTATCTCTTGATTACTTCATCCCCTTTCTATACTTGATTTGGAAAAAGGATAGATCAAGCCAAGATTGAAAGTTGATAACTTTATAATAAACTAATCTGACTGTCGACCTTATGTCTCAGATTCCAACATTACTTTGAGTAAATCCGTTCACCTACAAATTGTAGAGGTATTTACTAAATTAAGCATCTTGAGAATTCTCTCTTAGGTTTTTAGAGTTTAAAAATATTTCTGTGCAATGGTGCTAATAAATGTAAACTAGTTCCAATACCTGTATTCAATTAGACATAAAGGACCTTGTTTTAAACAGAACATTCAGTAGAAGTTCTAAGTTTGCGTACAGCATAATCAAAGTTTGAACTTTCTTCGTACTCGTATACTCAGGTATTCATGTCCACTTTAAATCTACTTAGTGGAAGTGGTAGAACTGCATGCGTTTATGAAGAATTATTGATTATCCAAAATAAATATGCCCGACTACTATTTGCTGTTGAGTCTTGGGATATTAGCTCAAGGTTTATGCTCCCAGTTGGAATATGTGCCTCCTATGCGAATCACTTCGATATAGCCATTTTGTCACATGTTATTTTAGGAGAGATAAATTATGATTAGTAGTGGGATCCAAGTCTCGTGCTTTGCCCTACTTTGAGACCCGTCAGTTGAATGTTCCTGGCTCCTAGTATCAATATTCACACCGGCACTCGAACTCAGTACCTTTTATTTCAAGCGTTATGATCGGAGCCACTGAATCAAGGTATTCGCCAGCTTGTGCAACAGGTACATTCAGCTAACTAGTTCCAGAGAGAATAAAACGCATATCCTGTATTCCACTACTAGCCACAATTCATCTATTTTAAACGATAAATTATTATCTTTGTATATATTTTTATTAATATTTTGATTGTTTATGTAGACTGCATAGTTCGTAAGTATTTTTGTTTATTTTATAAAAATTACCCCACCATCACAATGTCGTTTGGTTATGTTTTCACCCATTATTCAATTTAGATGTTATCAGCTTTCCGGTTTATTCTTATGGAAATAACTTATGGCGTAGTTCAAAGTCGCACTCCGTGGTGGTCCGCTGTAAGTTTTATGTTTTCACCTATACATAGATCTACAAATAGATATTTTAATTATTGATAACAAAACAACTGAGATGCATTATTTTACAAACGTGTGAGCCATTAAAAAAGTTGAAACATTTTTTTGTGAAGAACTGAGGATAAACTATTTAATGACAGTAAATATAAGGATGCTAATTGATGATGCAGTTCATATAATAATAATAATAACACAGGCACCTTTAATTTTATCTCGAAGAATGTACAACTGTTCGTATACAACTGGATCATCACTGGCTTATTTTTTAGAGCCACGAATAATAAAGTTCCATACAACTAACTAAGTTGCATTATCTCTAAGACGCCATTAACTAAGTCGTAATAAAATAACGGATGTTAATTAAACATAAACATTCTTTAATTCCACGGTACACTATAACAACTTGTCCGGTTCCTCATGTTTGGTATTTATTCCTAAAGATGGCGAATATTTCTCATTACAGGGAGCCTCTGGGACGACACACCAAACTATGTCAAGGGTGACGACATCAGTTATTGAAAATGGTCATTAAGGTAGGACTAAATACCTCTTACAGTTATTGCCACACAATCTGAGTAATCTTTCGAAGACAACTGTGATTTAATATAGATAGTTACCGAACGTCATCGGCTTACAAAGACAAGATTTTAGAAGTATTGAACAAACTGCTCACATCGATATATTATACTCTTGGCACTCCATAAGCAGATTACCTTCAGTCAGCTACAACGTAGGACCAGGCACATATGTGTATCGGTCCAAGTTGCCATACCTCATTAGCACAGCAAGATGAACACCAGATTCATAGGAGTGGTCAGGTCAAAGTTGGTAATATATAGGAGAAAGATTGCATATAAGGATACTGTACAGGAAGAAAGAATTAGTTAGTAGAAAGAAAGATATGAAGTGATTTTAATCTCATAGTTTAAGGGAAGACAGAGCGTGTATACACCGACGCTATTGTGGTCGATTCTGATCCATGTCACCAAGAATCTCCAACCATTGGTTATGATAGTCACGCGAACCCCAAACAAGTAGTCTGCATCTACCAACATGGCTCAGACTAGAAGTTAGTGACTTCAAGCACTGATGCCACGTTTTGGTATGCCCGCCCCTAACTTTCTTCTAACCATTTCCAATACTGGATAGCATTGCACGTCGTGGTAATCGGTGTTCAGGCATACGTAACACGTGGCCCAACCATCTCAGTCGATGAAGATTAAAAAACTCATCAACAGATTTACCATCATTACTAATACCCTGTGTCTAACCTCACTATTACTTACTCGGTGATCCCAGCAGACGCCAGCAATATTTCTAAGACATCTGTGGTCAAATACTAATAGCTTACGAGTGTCTTCTACTCTTAATGGCCATGTTTCGCTGCCGTAAATTAAAACAGAACGAACTGCCGCGCAGTACACTCGTCCTTTTATTGATAGACGGATATCTCGCCTTCGCCAAAGGTGACGTAAGTTGGCAGAAGCCAAACGAGCTTTTCGAATCCATGCTGAGATTTCGTCTGACACTAAACCATTTGGGCTGATCAGACTTCCAAGATAAGTGAAGTTGTCAGCGCGTTCGACTACTTCACTCCCTATCCTTAGTTCAGGTATTGACGCAGACCAGTCCTGAAGCAACAACTTGCATTTAGAGGTGAAGAAGCTCATTCCAAACATTCTGGCATTGTTGTTTAGTGCTACCAAATGACTGCATTGTATCAGCGTCTTCACAAAACAGGACTATGTCATCTGCGTATTCTAAATCGGTAAGTAGACCTGGAAGGAGATCAATACCCGAGAATTCAGTAGACGAGAATGTTATTTCCATCAGTAGGTCTATGATAAAGTTAAACAAAAACGGAGAAAGTGGAAAGCCTTGACGGACACCACTTGAGGTTGCAAAAGCAGATGACAGTTCGCCATAAGCTCTGACTCGACTGGTAGTGTTCAAGTAAAGAGCCTTCACAAGGTTTATGTACTTCTGAGGTACGCCTTTCAATGACAGACACTGCCACAGAATCTCGTGGTCTACGGAGTCAAATGCTACCTCTAAGTCAAGAAAGACCACCACTGTCGGACGCCGATAATTATGACTATGTTCTAGAACCTGACGGATGGTGAATATGTGGTCGATGCAGCCACAACCATGATTACCTTCACAATAACTCCGAGGGTGCTCTAGTTTTTCATCATTTCCAACTGCTCACCATAAAGTATAAATGTAGACACGATCTTAATTAAAATGGTTTTGAATCTTTTTGAAGCTTCAAAAACACGTTGACTATTATCTGATCTACCATGGACCAGAATTTTGTAATCAATATTTACACTAAAATACTTCATCAGTTATTACTTATTCTTAAACTAATATATTGATTTATTCATATTAATTGTTAGATTTCTCATTCTCTTGATCTTAGATTTCTACTGGTTTAACAAGTTTAATTCTGGTTGTTAAATGTTTCATTTTTAATGTAAGTACTTATGTTCTCATTATTTCTCATAAATAAACTTTTATTATTCAATCACATTTTATCCTCTTGTTGTTTATGTGTTTATTTGTATCAATAAATTTAGTTTCTAAATTTTACCATTGATAAAGATTAAATGATTAGAATCAACTTTTGATCATTTGAATCTTATCAATCACATTCATGTAAACATACTTCATTTCAATGGTTAAAAACGACTTCTCAATTATTATTGATAACAAGATGAGTTTTTATATTGAAGAAGATGACAAGAATGTTTTTTTAACAATAGACTGTACGATATTGAGTTAGTATATTGAAACTGATTGAAACTGCAGTTTATTTCAAGTCACTAGATTTTTCAATGAGAAATTATACAAGATTAGAAATGGAGAAAACCTAAATGGAAATAAAATTGTATTTGAAGCGGTTTATTGTGGATATTATAGTAATTTAAATAGTTGAGATCATGAGTTAGTTTAAGCTAGACCACAATGGAAAACTTGGAATCACTGGGCGACCGTTTTGTTCTATTGTAGGACTCCTCAGCAGTACGCATCCACGATACCGCCTCGCAAGATTCGAACCCAGAACCTATTGGTATCGCGCGCGGACGCTTACCCTCTAGAAGCAGTAACCAGTGGAGTTCAACTGGGTCTGTTGTGAGATAGTAACTCACTGAAGATAATGATGCATGTGTTGCTCAATTTCGTGGATTAGTTGAAGTTAAATATTAACACTATTGCGTGTCGATTCAGTGGTTTAGAAGTTAAGCGTTCACGTGCGAGATTGAAGACCCTGGGTTCGAATCCCTCGAGCGGTGTCGTAGATGTGCATTACTGAGGAGTCCCACATTGAGACGAAATGGCCGTCCTGTGCTTCCAGGTTTTTCATGATGGTCTAGCTTCAATTGATTCATGAACTCAACTATTAAAATTTTATTTGGTATTTTATATGCAGAGAATCGAGAGCTAGCTAGTTAAATGTTAACAGTTTAGGAAACAAATGATATAAACCTTTGAATCATATAAAATAACTGTAACTTCAAGGAAATTCATATCTAGTACCATGATACGAATTCCAGCTTAGTCATTTTCAAGTCTTTAGTGTGTATGTGTTTATAAAAACTTCAAATAGTAAGTAGACCAAGTCGTGCCATAAGCTGCTTAATTTATTGATCATTAGAAAAAGCATGCATATATTGTTTGATGAGAGATATCTTCCAATTAATAATAGCACATGATGAAACTAATAAATGATTGTGAGAAGTATATATAATTGCTTGCAACACTGAACTAAAACATTTTATATGCTTTTCTCAAACCTCATTTGTAAAAACTACATCTCAACACATAAAGAGTAAACGTTATAGGATTAAACAAGTTCATTTCATCCCATAACGTTTGTTTTTCCTACTTCACAAAAGTTAGTCAAAAAAACTAATTTTAATCAGTCTGATGGAAGGTTTGTTTTTAATGTAACTCATATGTGATATGTTCTTCATTCGTCCAATTAGTTACTGATGTATAGTTCCTATACTCAAACCTTACCTGATGTGTAATTGAATATACTGAACTAGAGAGCTGTATATTCAAGCCAAACTTTTACAGGTATGTAAATAACTTCAACCAATAGTAGACTTTTTTTAGCATTTCTCACTTATCGTCGGGCCTTGAACTAGCATCTGTTCACAAACATGTGGTATGTCTGGGATCGACCATTGTATCAGTTTACCAAGTACAACTTCATGTACTCACTTCTCAGCCACATTGTTTGTGTAAAAGCCGTTGATACTATTCGTATGTTTGGACTGAAGTAAGAGGAGTGAGTTTCTAATTCCTACAACTTATCGTTTATAAGTTAAGTACTTTTTTATCTTACTTACTTACTTACTTACGCCTGTTACTCCCAATGGAGCATAGGCCGCTGACCAGCATTCTCCAACCCACTCTGTCCTGGGCCTTCTTTTCTAGTTCCATCCAATTCTTGTTCATTATTCTCATGTCTATCTCCAGTTCTCGGCGTAATGTGTTCTTTGGTCTTCCTCTTTTCCGTTGACCTTCAGGATTCCATGTGAGGGCTTGTCTTGTGACGCAGTTCGGTGCTTTCCTCAATGTGTGTCCTATCCACTTCCAGCGCTTCTTCCTGATTTCTTCCTCCACTGGGATCTGGTTTGTTCTCTCCCACAGTACGTTGTTGCTAATAGTGTCCGGCCAATGGATCTGAAGTATTTTGCGTAGACAACTGTTAATAAACACCTGTATTTTCTGGATGATGGCTTTTGTAGTTCTCCAGGTTTCTGCCCCATACAGTAGAACTGTCTTGACATTTGTATTGAAAATCCTGACCTTGGTGTTGGTTGACAGTTGCTTTGAGCTCCAGATGTTCTTCAGTTGTAAATATGCTGCTCTTGCTTTGCCGATCCGCGCCTTCACATCTGCATCAGATCCACCCTGTTCATCAATGATGCTGCCCAAATATGTAAAGGTTTTCACATCTTCCAAATCTTCTCTGTCAATTGTGATTGGATTGGTGCATGCTGTGTTGTATCGGAGAATCCTGCTTTTCCCTTTGTGTATGTTGAGACCTATTGCTGCTGAGGCTGCTGCCACGCTGTTTGTCTTCTCCTGCATCTGTTGTTGCGTTTGGGATAGAAGGGCCAGATCGTCTGCGAAGTCTAGATCATCCAACTGCATCTTAGATGTCCATTGTATCCCGCGCTTTCCTTCAGACGTTGACGTCTTCATGATCCAGTCGATCACGAGGAGAAAGAGAAACGGTGAGAGTAAGCAACCTTGCCTAACACCGGTCTTCACTTCGAACGACTTTGTCAACTGTCCTCCATGCACAATTTTGCAGTGTAATCCATCATATGAGTTCTGTATGATATTGACTATCTTCTGAGGCACGCCGTAGTGTCGAAGAAGTTTCCATAGTGTTGTTCTGTCCACGCTGTCAAATGCCTTTTCGTAGTCAATGAAGTTGATGTAGAGTGATGAATTCCATTCAATTGATTGTTCCACAATGATCCGTAGAGTTGCGATTTGGTCTGTACACGATCTATCCTTACGGAATCCTGCCTGTTGGTCTCGAAGTTGGGCGTCTACGCAGTCCTTCATCCTGTTTAACAATACCCTGTTGAAGACTTTTCCCGGTATTGAGAGAAGAGTGATGCCTCTGTAGTTATCACACTTGCTGAGATCGCCTTTCTTCGGTATTTTGATCAGAAGTCCTTCTTTCCAGTCTGTTGGTACTTGTTCCTCATCCCAAATCTTATTGAAGAGAATGTGGAGTATCCTTGCAGTTGCCGCTACGTCTGCTTTTAGTGCCTCTGCCGGGATGTTGTCCGGTCCTGCTGCTTTGCCACTCTTGATTTGCCTGATGGCCATGCTGATTTCTTCAATTGTTGGTGAGCCAACATTGATTGGGAGGTCCGTGGGTGCTGCTTCGATGTTGGGTGGGTTCAGTGGCGCTGGTCGATTCAAGAGTTCTTTAAAGTGTTCTATCCACCTGTTTTGTTGCTCTTCAATGTTGGTGATTACCTTGCCTTCCTTGCTTTTCACTGGTCGTTCTGGTTTGCGGCGATTTCCAGAGAGCTTCTTTGTCGTGTCATACAATTGTCTCATGTTTCCTTCTCTTGAAGCCTTTTCCGCCGTCGTTGCTAAATCTTCCACATATTTACGTTTGTCGGTTCTGATGCTCCTTTTCACTTGTTTGTTTATTTCCGTGTATTCAGCTTGTGCCTTAGCTTTTTCTGCTCTTGTTCGGCTGGTATTGATCGCTGCCTTCTTGTTTCTTCTTTCTTGAATCTTATCCAGTGTATCAACAGTGATCCATTCCTTGTGGTGGTGCTTCTTGTGACCCAGGACCTCATGACATGTTGAAGTGATTGCCTCTTTGATCCCCTTCCAGTTGCTCTCCACAGTAGTTCCTTCTCCATTGAGTAGATCATGAAAGGCCTGGAACTTGTTGCTGAGGACTATCTTGAATTTGTTGAGTTTGTTAGTATCCTGAAGAAAGGCCGTATTGAACTTTTGTGATACTGTCTGCCCCGTTGTCCAGTGCTTCTTGAGTTTCAATTTCATCTTGGCGACCAGTAAGTGATGATCTGATGCTATATCAGCTCCTCTCTTGGTTCTCACGTCCTCTATAGTCCTCCTGAACGTTTTGTTGATGCAAATATGGTCGATTTGGTTTTGTGTAGGGTGATCCGGTGAAGTCCATGTGGTTTTGTGTATGCGTTTATGTGGGAATACGGTGCCGCCTATGACCAGCTTATTGAAGGCACATAGATTTGCAAATCTCTCACCATTTTCGTTTCTTTCTCCCAGTCCGTGTCGTCCCATGATGTCTTCATATCCAGTGTTGTCCGTTCCAACCTTGGCGTTGAAATCTCCCATCAGAATGGTCAGGTCCTTTGTTGGGCACTTCTCGACGATTGACTGCAGCCTATTGTAGAATTGATCTTTAGCGTCTTCATTGTAGTCGTTGGTAGGCGCATAGCATTGGATGATGTTCATTGAAATGCCCTCTTTCTTTGTTTTGAAGGAGGCTTTGATGATCCTTGGTCCATGAGATTCCCATCCTATAAGTGCATTTTGCGCTTGTTTGGACAGCATCAATGCAACTCCTTGTGTATGTGGTGCATTTTCTTCTTCATGGCCGGAGTATAACAGGAGCTCTCCTGTAGTTAGTCGTTGTTGTCCAACTTGTGTCCAATGTGTTTCACTGATCCCAAGTACCTCTAGGTTGTATCTTCTCATTTCTGCAGCAATTTGGAAGGCTCTTCCGGTGTCCCACATTGTACGAACATTCCATGTACCTAAATAAATGGTTGCTCTGGTTGTCAGAAGGGGCATCGGCCTCGTAACTTCCGAAGGAATTCGGCTTTCATCATGAGGCGTCATAATTCTTCTAAATGAAGACCTTCTGACTCCCAGGGCAGAGTTTAAAAGGTTTGAATAATTTTTTCTGGTTAGCGTTTTTTTAGCGAGTTAGTTTTCTACGGGATGGGGACGCTAACCCCATGCCCAACCCTCCTCCTTTATCCGGGCTTGGGACCGGCAGTAGCCCCCGGAGGGACTCCAGGCGGAGTTACTTTTTTATCATGCACCTTAAATTTATCTGTAGCATCTTTACATCACTCTAGAAATGATCAACTTGAATATTTTATGTAAATTAATATGTTATGAATAATTTGTAAGACTACGAAAAGTAACTAAGCTAATGAAATCTTTCTTTCATAAAATTAAAAAAAATTAACCTAATGATCATGGGTTATCTGGTTTTAAAAGCTGGTTCATATTCTTGCTTACAGTCAAGAAAGTTTTAGAAGTGCAAGTTACCGATGTAAATTATATAATACATCTCATTATCCGGTCCGTGGCTTTAACCCTGTCATTATCTAATTTTATCAGTGTTTCAAGCTCAAATGATAAAGAACTCATTTAAGAACGTAGATTTATTTAACTGTCTATCTTAATTTATATCGAGAAGTATTATAGATTTAAATTTCAGATTGAAAATTTTCAAACGATACAACAAACATTAAACAATTTCAACTTCAGTAAATAATATTGAAGAGGAAAAATTCACACATTTCATTATACTGTCGTCCACACAAAGTCATTCGTTATTAAGCATACATAGCGTGCATGTATGAATTGAAGGCATCATATTCTACACAAGTTCTGTCGAATATGTTCAATGAAGTAGCTGTTGCGTGCAAAATGTAGTTCTAAAGGTAATCCCGGTTTTTTAAGATATTAAGTAATTGTGTTTACCTTCATATTCAAGGGGGATTGAATTAAGTTAAAAAGTTTTTTAGATGTTAACATGTTAGCTACTTACGAACACTTAATATTAAATATCTTACCAAATAAATCTGTTGTTCACACTTTTTCCCTTCTTTTTCAATCCTAGTTTCATCAAAGGACTCCAGATAATCAAGGTCTAGCGTATGCTGTTTTAATCGCATCATTAATTATTTCATGGATTGAAACCACCTTCCTAATTTATCGCGTCATTCCTCAAGAAAAAGCTGCCAATCGTGGTACGTCGTAGCATAGTTGTGTTATGTATTGGACTTTGATATCGGAAATTACCATTACAGTGTGTAGAACGTACATTCTATTTTCACCTATGTGTGGCGAATTTCATCAAAGTACCATTGCACCAACCAATGGTAAAATAACATTTTTGTGGATAGTAGAATGTCTGGAATTTAAGCAACTGAAGGGCTGTTCCACATCCGCACCTGAAGTGGCATTCCGTGACATATCTTGAGACGTAGACTCTTATATGAGCTACCAGTCCATTCCAGTTCTACCTTTTCAGATGTCACTGAGAGGGGGTTGAAACCAGTTATTTTATATACAAACAATAACCTCGATAAGCTAGAAACTAATAATCATATTAAATAAAAAGAATGCTTACTTATACTGATTCCCTGAAATATTTCTGACATTTTTAAGATACTCTTTATATAAGAACAGGATACAAAGCTATAATAGGTACATAATCCCCATTATCCCTAAAGCCAGACAGATAAGATCGATAACACCAACATTTTCAAGACAACTTTCTGTACGGAGTAGACAATTCACACTATCAACAAGAAACTGTTTATCAATATATTTCGACTTGGTCTCTAGAACTATTTTAGTTACATTTATCATCGTCTTATAGTTACTTGGTCTTGTAATATTTTGGATACTTACTTCAATATATAATGATCTGTTTCAGTTTCATCCAAACATACTCAATAAAATCAAGAGCTGTCTTGACTTCCTGCAGTGTATTATTATGTACATGGATATATATTTAACAAAATCTAATTTTTCATCATTACTCACCACTTCGAAAATTTTAAAATATTAGATAATTTATCGTTGTCTCTCAGTGTTTTTGGTGTTTTATTCATTTTGTCTGTTTCCAGTTAATACTGCTGTATCACCGAAGTATTATAGTCTGCACAGCGTATGAGTAATAAAAATCTCTAATCCCAGTGTAGCATCTATTCAGATTACAAACATGTCATGTTTTGAAATCACAGTTTTAGAAATAAATGTATGTATATACTCAAGTGATAGCTACTATATCTAATATTATCATCTGCCTTTGTGGTACTCCATAGTGTGAAAATTTTATAAAGGGATTCTAAACCATTTTGCCTATAGTCTGGTGTGTGCATATGATGATTCCAAATTGCAGGTTTGGATTATTACAAACAACAGGTCAACTTCTGTGCTGTTATCACTTTTTGCTAAACTAAAACGAAAGGTAACAGTGTAGATTCTCAGAACTTTTGAAGTTGTTCTAATTAAGCTCCCACATTTGCAGCATAAAATTTTTTTATCCCAGATAAATCTGTCATTTACACATTTTTAACTGACTAGATTCCTCTTTTGTGACTAATACTTTATCATGCATTTTTCCTATTTTAATTTTATTGCTAAGTCGAATCTGTTTTTCCTTTGTTTTGTAAGTGAATTTAATTGATGATTGTGAGAAAGTTTTAGTCTAATAACCGTCCAGGAATGTTTATACCAACTGTTTTCAAGTCTTACATAAAAAAAATGCACTACTTTATCATTTCATTGATATTTCAAATAAAATTCATGAATTGATACTATCTAGTAGATTAGAAAAACTATAACAAAGGCACTATTTTATCAATGAAGTCGGTTTGTCACTATGGAATAAAGAGGATTACTTCGGTATTTAGGGAGACAGTACAATATAACGTAAATATTTTAAGTATTTGTATATTCACTTCAACTTGTATACAGTTTTGTATTCACTCTTTTTTTTCCTTACCTCTTAAAGTAACAATGTGTTTAAAAGAGCAGGATGAAACTCGAAGTTTGTTAAGTTCACGACTTGAGAATCGTGTTCCTTGGTATTCTGGTCTTTCTGTATGGTCTATGAGCAATGCAGATTTTTATACACCACAAGGTACATGTGATTTTCTCATTGTAATGCGTCACATTGTTTTTTTCTCATTATAAGTACATTTTATTTACTTGTTGTTTCGAAGATAAAACATATTCTGCTACGATACCCGGTTATTTTTATCAACAACAAAAAATAGTTCAATATCCTTCTATTTAATGAAATCCACACAAAATATATTTTTCTCTACACTACGAATGATCTACCGAGTTAGATTTAGTTAAGAAACTTTTGAAAATTGCAAAACTTAATATGATCCATAAATGTTAGATACTTGAATACTGGTAGAAAAAGTTTGAAATTATAATTACTGACTGTGTTTCTTTTTTTTCAGTAACAATTCTAAGCTTCTTCAAATTTATAAATTCATTTTACCATACTCATTGCTGACAACAGGTTAATAATGGAAACTTAATACTCCAATACCTCTTACTTACTGAGTTTGTATAAATCTGATGTGTAATTATTATAACGAGAAATATATTTTGTACAGTTTTTTTTCAATTTCAGTTTAATTTTATAATTAAACAGTTAAAGATGATGTAAAAAGAAAACTAGACGGATAAATATCATTAACATAAATCCTGGCTCAGACTTTTTTTAAAACCCATTAAAAATATTATTTTTAGTTTGCTTCCAGGTTTTCAATGGTGGTCTAGCTTCAACTGACTCATGATTTCAACCTGTGAAATTTCTAAAACTCTCCACAAAACACATTCTGATATTTTTAGTTTCTTTAATTCTAACTATGTATAATAATTTTGGATGCATTATTGCAATGCTACAATTATCATACGTTCCGTTATATTCTATTTATCATTACAGGTTCACTATTCGGAGATGAATCACCTGTAAAAATTCCGAAATCTCATAATCTTGAAGCTGCTGTAGATGTAAGTTTTGTAATTAATTTAAACTGTTATAAGTCATTACTTAAGAAAGTAAGAGAAAATACTCACTACTCAAGAGACAGGTTTTTTCAGTATATTTATAGATTTGTGGATACCCTTTACTTTCTGGAAGTCTCTGGAAATATACTACGTTCCGTAGTAATATAAGTAATTATCCAATCAAAATGTTACATCTAATCCTTCATATTTTTAAATGTTTCTGGGAAGTCTCTGTTTGACGATAATTAGACGAAACCTTTCCAGGCCTCTCTGGACTCTTGGAAACTTTATCTATAATATTCTTGAGGACTCCGAACAAGAATTACATCATTGGTTGCATGGAACCAGCTTAAACTTACACATTCTATGTGTAGCTAAGGTGTCGATATGCCCTACATTTGTTCATGGAGGTTATTTACCTTGCGACGAATGACATGATAGTATTTAGTGATCCTTATATTTTATTAGAGACTGACCTATTCAGACGTAAATATCAACAGTTGGAAAATTCAAACCCGTATAATTGACGGCGAATATTTACTTTTTAGCCTGCTATTTAACTTTTATATACTGATTGGTGTACACTGTTGAATTGTCCCTTTCAGTCCGTGTATATTGAATACTGATCATTTACTAAGTTGTACATTCGGACATCTAGTTTGTATTTCAAGAGCTTCAATTGATTTACTTGATTGGTATATAGAACTAGTTTAGTTGTGTGACCGTTCAATTGTTTTATACTCCTATAGTTTGTAATCCAGTTCTGTTTCTCATATTTTCCTCTTAGGTAGCTGCTTTGTTACATCGTACCAATTCTTTACAAACAGAAATGTGGAATTTATACGAAAATGAAATTTGGGGTGATAATTCACCTTCTGTCAATATCAAGTATCCACTTCGATCTGAAGTGTTGCCTAATTATCCTGCTAAGGTTTATCGCCTAGAGGTTGGTTTAAAATTTGTTCGTTCAGCCTACAATGAACTTGTTTATGTTTCATCTGAATGTTACGTGAGAAAAAATCCCTACTACAACTCTCCCTATACTTAATGTGTAAAACGAAATTTCATTTTCTGTAGCAATTAATGGTAATTTACAGTTCCTGAAATACAATATTCAAATGTCTCTGATCATCTTTCTCAGGATATTTCGGTTTTCGTTGTTCAATATTTAATTATTTTAATTTAGAGACAAACTATTGGAACTTCTCAAATCTCGGTACACACGGGTAAGACAGTTCACGATGTCCTGTTCTTCAGTGACAGTCTTAAAATCCTCAGTCTATCTACATATGCTCTATACTTGCTTGAATAAGTAAACTTATAGGGTTATCTTAAATATAAGTTTACGATATTATGTTCTTTGCTTATTGCATTAGTTCCGATTTGTTATTATTCAAGAGTTACACTCACAAAACGAAAAGCTACATGATCCGATAGTGTTCTCTTATCTTTTATGTTCCGTTATCCAGTTTGTTAGTTTTACAAATTGCTTAACTTGGTCTTACTTTCGTCTTCCATGTTCAATTGATTTCTGAGGACCCAATTGTAAATCTTTGAAATTTACATCTGTTGAAATCCACTAAATATGTCCTTGTCAAGAAGGTTTTCAAAGGTGTTACTCTGAACTGAATACAACATTGACTGATATAACTTGGGGTGCGTTTCAGAATATCGCAGCTAATAAAGTATAAATGGTTGTTACTGTTGAGTTCACTGATATATGATTACTAGCCGTCACTATTAAAGTGTACCTTATATGTCAAGTACCTGGTCAATGAGTTAATTAAAAAATGAGAAATAATTATATTTATTTCTTACATTCATATTGGTCGTTGTACATATAAATGTTTTTTATACTTTTATGTAGGGTTTATTGTCAGTTTCACCGTTTCATTTATTTAATGATATGGTTATAAATGTCCATGAAACGCCTAGCTGGAATACTACTCTGACATCCGTTGAGGTTAGTAGAAATTCGCTTGTTTTATGTAGTTAATTATTTAATGCTCTTTAAAATTAACCAATTAATTCTACAGTTTTTACGTTATTGATCTATAGAGTACATTTTATTATTATTATAACTGTTGGATGAAATGAAATAACTTATTTACTAAAATTATCGGTTAAAGGTTAGTTAGTTAATCAGTCATAATCAACGTAGAACCTCGCACATATTTGCATTGGTCTAATTTGCTATTCTATGTTAACACAACGAGATTAAATTAACAATATACATTGCAAAACATACCGAAATAATATAGTAATAATTATATTGAGAAAGAATAGACATTGAGAAAACGGTTTGTAAAGATAGAGTGGAAAAGTATACATGAAGGATACTGGAATTCAAAATTGCCGCTGTTCTCTGCCATTTTAACCAACATCTCTAATCACTGGTCGCAGTTATCTCGCGGGCCCCTACCAGGTAGCTCGCATTATCTAATATCGCTCATATCAACAGTCAATCATTACATGAGTTGATACCACGTCTTGGTTTGGTCGCCCCTATCTTTCTTCCGAACTATCTCTGAACTAGTAAGCATGGCTCACTTCAGTTGATAAAAACTTACGATTTCATCAACCAATTCACTACATTTCCCTAGTACCTAACCGACTGTCTGACCACAACATTGCTCCCTCAGTCGTTCGTGAAACGCTAGCAATGCTTTGAATATATATGATTAGAAGCACACCGCCTAGTGAACTTCTCTACTTTCACGGATTATGTTTAACAGCCATAGATCAATACAGAGAGAATCGATCTGTAGTATGTTTGTCTTTTTTGTTTGGCGGATGGATATCTGAATTATGCCACAAGTGACGAATATTGCCAAAACCTAACCAAGCTTTCTAAATTTGTGCTCAGATTTCTCCAGATACCAGTTCATCAAAGCTGAAGAAGCTTCTAAAACAAGTGTAGTGATCAATGTTTGCTTCCTGATGTCACTGGTAGATTCAAATACTCCACACAGTTAAATATGAGATCATTCATCAGTTCACACTTTCCACACCATTATAATACTTTTCTTAATAGGTTGTGTTTGTGACTTTTTATTTTGGTATGGTAATAGTAATTAGTTAAAAATAAGAATACCGGCTTAACTATTTGTTCATTAGTTATGCACTTTCTTACATTTGATTGATGAGATTGAGTTCAAATATGTTGACTTTCAATTACATTCAATCTGTCCACTTTACGTAGTTCACTATTCTTCTTTAAGTACTTGTTACGTCCTTGATCTGTCCACTCACTTTTGTGCAGAGGATAACTTGTCTAATCTAGATTATGCCTTGACACGATAGGCTGACTGGCTTAACCTTAAGGTTTGTATGCGTGAGTTCTAAGTGAGACCAACTATTCTATCACCTGATTGGCTAACAAGCACACGAGTGAGTCAAGACAACTCAACTGGAACACTACTCGGTTTATTCCCAATTCCGATCTGATTACCGATTTCAGATTAGTGTAAAAAGATACATGAATAAATAAATGACTAACCAGACCACAACGTACAAACAATTAGGAAAATGAAAATTATCGCTGAAAAATCCCTATTATATCAAAACGCAATTATTTGAACGAAGAATATTCTTTTCAATAATTTTTCATTAGGTTCTACAATTATAAATCCAAATTAGTAATCTATAAAGTGGTAGAGATAATAATATTATTATTATTACTAATATTATTATTATTATTATTATCATTATTACACTTAATAACCTTTTTGAGAAATTTATTCAGCATCCACCCCTAAATCTACTATATCTGACCTAATTTATATTATTCTACATATTACGTAATTTCTGATTTCTATCCCATTATTTTCTCTTTCACTACATGTCGATCATATTTGTTCTGATCATTTATCGCACAATTTCATTTCGCTTATAAACTGATTCAAGTTAACACTTCATATTAGTCAACCCCAACATTAACGATTTGATTTGATTTCACATGACAAACAACAATTCTTGATTTACAAATTACAATTTCCAAATGATGTACTCTGTCTTAAATCTGTCCAATTTTATGGATTATTAATTTGGATTTATACTTGTAGAACCTGATAAGAAATACAATTGTGTCCGAAGCTGGGATTTAGAGTAGAAAATAGAGTACATAAGATTACGTTTAAATTACAATAGCTTTGGAACAGAAAAGGCTATGGCAGTGAATCATACATCAAACGAAAGCTTATAATCTACAGAATAGACTAGGGACAAAAATAAATATTACTGTTTTTACAAGCTTTGAATTAAATGAAATAACCTCCCAAAAATTAGCCTCCGTAGTTTCTTGTTTCTTGTTTCTCTGTTCACATAAGTAGTAAAGTTATTTCGATAGCAAATATAAATGACTTAGTTTTATATACCATCATGTATACTTAGAAAGTTATAATCACTATTGTAGCTATAATTTGATAGAATAAACACTTTTTTGATATTCAATCACTAATTGTGTAGCTATTTCACTTGTCTTGTATCGTTTTCCTTTGGCAGGGGGAGTTGATTCAACTCAATACTCCTGTTTTTTTTTCCAGAAATACTGTAGTTACACTTTCAATAGATTCATACAACATTGTGACTATTGCACGTCGTCGTTTAATTATTTAAGTTCTTATTTCTAATGGATCGACTGTCGTCTGGTCATTGTAGCTTATAGCATTTTAACATCTATCAATCAACTTCTATGTATTTATCTTTAATTTTTTTTAAAAAATCCGTTATCATCTAATGAACAGACCTGATTCCAGTACCCCCATATTCTTAAGTAATTTGGAATGTCGTTACACCAAATTATAATAAAATCTTTCCACTTATCCATTGATTGTATGTAAGTTACCCATAAATCTAGCTTTATTTAAATATAAGATGATTTTCGTCTGAACCGTTGATAACATCTTTCCATAAACGTAAAATAGATAAAATTCGGGATATCAATTACACTACAGATGTAGTGTAGTAGTACAATTGTGTGTTCAGTTAGATCATGATTTGGCATTGAATGCTCAGCGTTTTATGCTTAATTATAAGATTTGAGATGAATAGTTATCTATAAGCAAAGATACATAACAATGACCTCAATTTTTGTACGTTTTTAGTGTATCCAAGCTTTGGCTTCAGAGAATATTGACATCATACACAATATGGCTAAAGAGGCTGTCGGAGGTTTAATATCTGCCAGGTTAGTTGATCGATTATGATCATATACTTTTCAAAATGAGTTTACCATTCATGAATAATTCCATAATCTAAGATGACTAATGTGGATACAGGGATATGACGGCTAATATTTATTTGAAGCTTTCAAACAATGTTTCTCGTCAAAATTGTAGAGAAAATTGTTCTATTTTTAATAAGAGTTCGTTAATGAGTATTCATTACTTACTCCCGTTACCCTTCGTGGAAGATCAGACATTGCCCACCAGCATTCTCCATCAGACTTTGTCCTGAGAAGTCCTTTCCAGTTGCTATTCATCCTTTTGCTGTCTTCTTCCAATTCTCAACGTAGCGTGTTCTTTGGTTTTCCACTTTCCCTTTTCCCCTCAGGATTCCAAGTTAGCGTTCGCCTCGTAATGCAGTTTGATGGTTTCCTCAATGCATGCCCTATCCACCTCCAACTTCTTTCCCTAATTTCCTCTTCAGCCGGGATCTGATTTGCTTTGTCCCACAATAGGCTGTTGTTGATGGTGTCCGGTCAACAGATATTGAGTATCTTGCGTAGTCAATTGTTTATAAATACTTGCACTTTTTGATGATGGTTGTGTTAGATCTCCAAGTTTCAGCTCCGTATAATAGAACTGTCTTTATGTTAATATTGAAGATTCTGGTTTTGATGTTGGTTGGCAGTTGTTTTGAGCTGCATATGTTCTTCAACTATAGGAATGCCACTCTTGATTTACCAATTCGTTTGTAGTTCTTCTAGGGTTACTACAGGTCCCAAGGCCGGGTGAAGGAGAAGAGTTGAGCATGGGTTCAACAACCCCATTCCATAGAGAACAATCTTTCTAAAAAGCGCTAACCAGAATAAACAATATTTAACCTAACTCAAGTGGTAATACCCATATTTTTCAAATATTATGCAATCACAATTTATAACTGTGCATAAGGGTTTGTATTTACCTGTCATGGATATTCAAAACTTAGTTAAACAATCTCTATTGGCAATTAGTAAAGCATGACTGACTAGTGAGTGAAGATCAACACATGCTAAATATGTGAGACCATGTAGCATCCACTGTGGATTTCTGCTCAGATTTCGTTGTGTGTTGACCATTTGTAAATCATGTGAGTAACCTTGTCTAGTCTAGTCTGGTTCTCAATCGTCGGACGAACGTTAGGTATCTAAGTTCACATAATCTGATATCCGGATGTCTATAGCGTATTGACCCTATTAGTTTTATTATCAAGTCGCATTATACATTTATTGTCATCAAACCATATTTTTACCTTTATATCACTTTTACTCGGTTGCTAAGTTACGATATCGATCGGATTATTTCTTATATTAGTACGTGCAAAAATATGTTGGTACAACTGTTGCCACACAACAGCAATATGTGTAAAGGAAATAAATCATTATTGTTCAAAGTGAGAATAAGTGATGAGCACGTAAATTTCAGAAAATAGGACAAATCTCTTTCTTAAGCAATAAACAGAAATCAGAAGGGGTTTGTGGAGATTTTTAGAAATTTTCACAGATTGAAATCATGAGTCAATTGAAGCTAGACCACCATGGAAAACCTGGAAGCACTGGACGGCCGTTTCGTCCTAGTACGGGGCTCCTCAGCAGTGCGCATCCACGATCCCGCAACACGCGGGGCTCGAACCCAGGACCTACTGGCTTCGCGCGCGAGCACTTAACCATTAGACCACTGAGCCTGCATCCAACGATGTTAATGTCTAACTCCAACCAATCCACGAAGTTGCGCCACCATATACCATTGTCTTCAGTGAGTTGATATCTCACAACAGACCTGGTTGTACTCCACTGGTAACGGCTTCCCACTAGAACTCCACGAGTATCTCTTGAAGTCAGTCACTAGTGAGCAGATGATTATTATCAGAAGGGGTTTGTGGAGCTTCAACTGACTCATGATTTCGATCTGTGAAAATAAACAGAAATGGAAAATGTATGAATCCCTATTATATGAGTCTTCTGCGTCGTTCCCAATAAACTGTACTATTTAATTGATGGTTATTTGTGAGTCAGTGATTAAAGTGAAATAGATTATGTAAATAAACATAATAAGTAAAAAGTACACATTGATAGCATGATGACATGTATACTAGCTGTGATAAGAATAATATAGGCTTGGATCAATGCTTTGTGATAGGAAGTAGGCCTGGCAAAATAACATTAAAACAACATAAAATTATATTGTGATTAGACAGTGAAGTGTACATTTGATAAAAGTGGGTAAAGAAAAATAAACGAACAAAGTGTATGTGAAATAATAATAAATAAAATCTTTTATTAAGAGTAATACAGCCAAGGAAGATATATTGGTGTTATAAATTTCTTATGAACACAAAAACTTGGACTTCTCGCTCGAATCCCTATAGCTTCTGAAATATCTAAGAGACGAGATCAAACTCCATGAGGAAAGCCAGGAGGCATACGATAAATTACTTTAAATCATTTATTTGGATCTACCATATCACTGCTGTCGGTCAAGTGTAACGGAACAGAGCTATGTGTTGCTTTTATCATGCCCTTCTCTAACCAAGAAGGGTGGTGTTCACTAAATCGTTGGCTTAGTTATCTGGTTATACACCCAACATAGTTTTCTTCACAGGAGTAGCTGAATCCATAGATGTACATGAATGTAAATGTGATACTTATTACCATTTTTAAATTTTGAATAAAGTCTAAATAAGCAGCTAAAGCAGAATATTATGAATTCATTTTATATTTTAGTTTTCCTCCAGCTGCTTACTGCTGTATTCCTAGAACATTGAATTATGATATAATAATAAGCAATAGACATTGGTGATAGAGAGAATTGGAATAACAACGCTTATCAGTTTTTAACTTCATATACTTACTACCTCACTCCCCTCCATATTTTTAAATCTCAACTTCAAACTGCTTCACATATGGAGACACTGCTTCAGTGTGATGTTCTAAATTAGTTCTCACATAAGTGAGGTTTGAAATCCTAAACATATCTTCTCAACAACATTCAAATGCTCGGTGTGGCGGCCATAACATCCAAGATCCTTTGACAGCTTCTCCATTTCAATACCCTGTTTTTTTAAATCGTGATTTACCATTACCTGTAGAAGGGGTTTTGTGGAAATTTTTTAGATATTTCAATAGTTGAAATCATGAGTCACTTGAAGCTAGACCACCATGGAAAACCTGGAGGCACTAGACGGCCGTTTCGTCCTAGTATGGGACCAGGTCTGTTGTGAGATATCAACTCACTGAAGACAATGGTGTACGGTGGCGCAACTTCGTGGATTGGTTGAAGCTAGATATTAACACCGTTAGACGCCGACTCAGTGGTCTAATGGTTAGGCAATCGCGCGCGAGACTGGTAGGTCCTGGGTTCGAGTCTCGCAGGGAGCGGGATCGTGGGTGCGCATTGCCGAGGAGTCCCATACTAGGACGAAACGGCCGTCCAGTGCTTCCAGGTTTTCCATGGTGGTCTAGCTCCAATTGACTCATCATTTCAACTATTGATATTGCCTGTAGGTCTTTTTGTTACTTCGCGTGTAGAAACGGTGTACCATTGACTGTACACCAATGATGCATGTATATACCTATAAATCACATCGGATTTTAGTTTAAGAGGGTGTGATAACAATTCGATAGGCACTCAATAAATGAAATACGGTATGGTACACAATATTGTAATGGACGAAGTCATGGGTAGTAAACCAGTTTATTGCATTCTGCAAAATCACACGTTATGTTTGTAAATTTTCAAAACAATTCACTATTTGCCCATCTTCCTTGAGTTTATCCGTTACAAACTCCATTATTCTTTTATTCGTGTTGCTATTTTGATTGCTTTCTATTTTTCTCTTCTGTCCGCACAAGTAGTACACAGCACAGTATAAAGTTTTATCATCATCCCAATGTAAGCTATATTTAATTGACAAAAATTACTTAAAAAGTTATTCGAATTCACTTCAGATATTTTAAATTTGAATATAGTCAGTGTAGTTATTGTTTGTATTAAATTTACATTCTATTGTTTTTTTTAACATACATATATGTATATGAAGAGATTTTGTTCTGTTGAGATCATGGGGAATACATAACAATAATTGTTACTTTATATGTTGTACTTCTGTTGAACATCCTAAATGTCCACCGATTCCAAATTATGTACGGTAAGTGTATATTTTTGTTAATTAAATATAAACTATCCATATGTTTTTTCTCTCACTCTTATACATGAAATGTTTGAAAATCGTTTGAAATGATTCAGATGCATTCAGTTTTTTCTTAGTTCCTAAGTTTATAAATTCCTGAAAAACTTTTTTATTGTTTCACTGATTTATATCTTCTTAAATTGTGTCTTCGATACCTAATCTTTTCTATTAACGCCTATACGTTTACTAACTACCACTACTTTGGGATTTGCTCTAAAAACTTCATCTCACTGTGGTAATAGGCGGTATAGCAACTTGAAGCGATAGTACATACGTACCAGGTTCAACGTTGTGAATGGTTGACTGACTATCATGAAAGTGTTTTCATTGAGCATAAGCATTCAAACATACGTTAATGATATTGTGGTTTCCAGTCTAACAAGAAAATCGCACTACTACTTGGTGTACAAGTTATCATGCATTGTGTGATTGATTTCATAAGATATGTGATATGTGTCCAGTGAAATTAAACTGTGATTGACCAGTAAGCGTGTTTAGACAAACACTCTGACAGCTACCTATTTAATGTGATATCTTTCCTGTAATTAATTTCTACGCTGAATGTTAACTGCTTATAAATTATTGTTAGGCTTATATTCTAGTTCACTATGTCTGGTTGTAAATCGTGTATCGGGTATAACGCTATCCGTTCTTTTTATACCCAATCGATTGAGTATTCAGCCTAATGTCAGTCACCGGCCGAATTATTGTATTGTGGAAACGAGAAAATATTTTTATTCATCCGTTATATCAATGAGTCCTTTATCATATAGCTAAATTCATCTTCTAACCAAAGAGTGAAATTAGCATAATATATTGTTACTTTAACAATAGCTAAACATACTTAGATTATGAATATTCTATTAGATGTGTATTGGGAACATTTCTTAGCACCCATCTTAACCATGGAGTCACCATTATAGATTTCGGTCACATCTTATTGTATTGATGAAGTTGTTAATTTTTTCATTATGTTAAACAGTTGAAAAACGTGGTACGTATACACCTTCCTTAGCGTGCTTTCTTAACTAGCTGAGGAAAAAGGTTTATGATGGACAAACCGAAACAAAGCATGCTTTCTCGAAATCATGAACTGTTGTTATACAATATGTGCGTCATGAAGAAAATCAACAGACCAAGTTAACCCCTTACATAAGTCCTTTGTCCGACTTATCTAGCTGAAAGGAGGGGGATATACGTTAAATGACCTTCTACCTGGAAGTTGTACTAATAATGCTGGTCAGAAGAACAGTGAAAGTTCCACTATTAAACCACTCAGCTTAGTGTACGAAACTCCACCAAAATAATCCATCAGAGCTGCTAGGGAGACCTAGAAAATTCCTCGGAAAAAACCTATAGAGGCCCTAAAAATTCTGGAAAACATTTTATTTAATCAGCATTCAATAGAAGTTTATCAGGAACATCTAGTAAGTGAAGAGTCATATTTCTGCACGGATGATTACCTATCCTGCTACTATATTTAGAAAGGTTCCACAACTTTACAGAAGCCCAAGACCATTTAAAATGCTGTAAATACCCTCGATTTTCTGTACATAAATTAACCTTGGAGTAAAGCATCCTTTCCATATTTCACGCCTTTTCTCTCATGTTCAAGTTGTCATGTAGATTTACCTTGGGGTTATCAGAAGAGCTTAAGAAACCGATTCAAACGTTCAGTCAGAAGATTTATCAAGAGCTACAAATCTCTACCATCTCAAAATCCCCTCATCTACTCTCCTTATCTTAATGATTATGTATCTTGTACATCTTCCCCTCTCTTTCGTCAGCTACCCCAAATGCCCTGGTACGACCGAGAGTGCGGAGAGGCCGCTCTTCCTCTCGAAATGCGCTCTCACATGGCCACGCGTATGTAACCTCTGCCAAAGAAGTCCTACTCACTGCCTTCTCGCGGTGGGGGTATTGTTCACGAAATTGAGAGGACGGAAAGCGAAATTTCGGCGCTTTAACCGGGTTGTTGGACATGGAGGATCCACCTAGGGAAGTTGGGAAACCCTGATTCCAAACCAGTGGTGCACATGGACTCCAGTATCCTGAAGGAACAAATGGCGTATGAACCAATTGTTGGTCACCGGCTACCATGGGACTGCATCTCCTTACGATGCTCCGCTGCCTTGTGGATCAGACCTTTAGGTCAAAGGCTCGGGTTGTGCCCCCCTAAGAAAACCACCTGCTTTGGTTTGGGCACCCGGGCAGTATCACAGCCCTCACACAAATCTGATGAGGTGACAATTATTTCACGAAATACTATGCTTGTTCCAATTAGAATTCAGACGTTTCACACTCACTTGATAACACTCATTATTATTATTACTATTTTTTTATATACTACGTCACTTATCTACTCCTATTCTCACTTCATGTATCCCCTTTTTCAACTCGCCCATCACGGAAACTCTGTTCTGTCTAAACGTTCTCGAGTCACTGACTGGTTGAAAATTGAATGCTACCACCAAATACGAATACTGAAACAGTCTTTCTGAAACTACATGCACCATTCAAACTGACCTCGTTCAACGTTCACACAGTAATGCAGGCCGGACAACAGATAGGGCTGGCTATGTCGTTAGAACGTCTTAATATCGACGTCTTGGACGATGGGCAGAATTTTTCGAAGGGCAGTTCAACTGGCCTGCTGCTCTAGCAACAGATCAGACTGTCAGTGACGACTAATCCACCAAACGAGGCGGAAGTCCGCAAGGAACTCCAACTCTTGAAACGCTGCAAACCCCCAGGTTCAGGTGACCTCCCTTCGGCTGTTTTTAAAGATGGTGGTGACTTTCTGGCTAGTGAACTGACGATGTTGTTTACAAAGGTCTGACAATTAGAGTTTTCTAACATCATAGAATGAGTCGATAGTTGTCCCTATCTTTAAAAAGGGTTCACATCGCCTATGCAACAACTGTCGAGAGGTAAGTCTACTTTCGATTGCGTTCAAAGTATTGGCTTCCATCATACTTCATAAATTTTTCAAAACCGGAGGAAGATTGTCTCGCGAGTTGCAGGCTGATTTTCATTCTGGTCGAGGATGTATTGATCATATGTTCACTCTCCAGCAAATGTTAGAACACCGTCATACTTATCATCGGCCAACAATCGTAGTGTTTCTTGACATCAGGGCTGCTTTCCATTTGTTAGACAGGGCTGTTCTCTGAGATTGTCTATTAAAGAAGGGTGTGCCTGAGTTTATTAGCATCCTAAAAGCCCTATATACAAACACCTCAGGTAGAGTGAGGGCATACAACCACCTTTCTCCATTGTTCCATTCGAGCAGTGGGATTAGACAGAGCTGCCAAATTTCACCATTCCTCTTCGACTTTGCCATCGATGACATTCTGGGAACAGCTCTGATGCATGTAAGTGATGGTGGTGTGAATCTGTTGCCTGGAGAAAGATTTCTCGACCTTGAGTATGCAGATGATATTGTCTTACTGCGCGATAATGTCCAAGCCATGCAATCTGCACTTAATCAGTTGGCAATCAGTGTCCGTAGGTATGGTATATGCTTTGCACGTTCAAAGTGCTAAGTACTTTTACAAGACTGGCATGACCATGATCCTGCACTCACCCTGGGTAGTGAGTAGATAGAAGTAGTCGAGAAGTTCGTATATCTGGGTATCTGCATAAGTGCTGGTGGTGGCATGAGTGATGAGATCGATTTACGTATAGTGAAAGCCAGAGTGGCTTATGCCAATCTGGACCATCTTTGATGCCTTTGTGATGTTAATCTGAGAGTGGAAGGTCGGATCTACAACGCGTCGATGAGAGCAGTTTTGCTCTATGCTTGTGAAACCTGGCCTCTCCAAGTTGAGGATGTTAGACGACTCTCTGTGTTCGATCATCGTTGTCTCCGAACGATTGCTGACATTCAGTGGCAACACCATGTTAGTAATGCAGAGATTCGGTATCGTGTGTTCGGGCGCAGAGACGATAGTCAACTTGGTGTCATCATCTTGAAGCACTTCGGTGGCTTGGACATGTTCTACGAATGTCGTCCCAGAGAATTCCACGTCGCGAATTATCTGCCGACTCTGGGACTGGTTGGAAAAAGCGTGGACGTGGTCAATGTATGACATGGTGTCGTGGTATGAAAGAAAGCTGTACATGCCTGGCTTGTGTTGGTCCTTCACTACTCCTTGATTGGGATCCTAGAGATGGTGCAACACAGTGACTAGAAACGTTATCAGATATGGCTCAGAATAGAAGTCAATGGCGATCCTTCTATAACCTTTTCTTTCTTCATAAAAAGTGACCGTAACTTCTTTAACTGAAAGAATTCTTTCTGGTTGTATCTTTCTGTTTCCCCCATTATTATTATTTCAGTACCATACACTAATCTATGGTCGTTATTGTTCGTTTTTCTTCTCTCTTGTACGCACCTTACATTCTTTATCTCTTCCCATTCTCATTATTATTGTGTGGCGCATATGAATCTGGTGCCTCCTTGTACCCATATTTATGTGTTCAAATAAATAATTAAATAATAATATAAAGTTTGTTTAAAGACTTGTAATTTACCTATATATAATGTGTATGGTTCTAAAAGTAAACCTATTGGAAAAGAAATTTTGAACTAAAAACACCACCCATCGTCTGTATATCCTTTTGTTTTTGTAGTCGTTGTTATTGTTATCTAGTAATGATAATAATCCGTGAAATTTGCATTGGTGAATAAATAGTGTCCATGTTTAACTATTTTGCCCAAGGATGTACATGAAAACGCAATATTTTAATCCTGATTATGTCTAGTGATCACTGATTTTCCGCATGTTTTAAAGCGTAACTAAGCTTTTCTCTCTCCCCATTTTCCTTGATCTTCATACTCACTAAACCTACAGACATAAATATTTCAGTAATTTTCATATTAAAGTTAACACTATAAATATATAATAGACTCGATGATTTTCATTCGATACAGATTCTTTCACTGTTGATTTTTTCCTAGATCTCTGTTGTATTTTACATTGTATATAAGTGTTTAGAAAACTTATTGATGAAATTATTTGTTTCGGTAATATTCTGTCTTTAGTAGTTTGAAATTTCGAAGTATTTGTAAATAAACAAACAGATAATACATTGTTTATTATTCTAGGTGGAAGTTTTAGGTTTTTCTGTAATTGAATGATTTTTATCGAACCACAGTATATACTGTAAATCAGAATTCTACATTGTTCAATTCCATATTTGAATGTTTACATTTAATCTGTCTACAGTCAACTGTATATTAATTTAAACAATTAGTATGAATAGCAAGATTTACCACAACTTCTAAGTTTGCATGATGATAACATCAAGGTATTAAATACCCCATATCAAATTTCGTTACATATTACATTGATCATACTGTGTTTTTACTAAGATATTTCAATGGCTATATATTTGTCCATAAATTACGGTTATTTACGTTAATTCACTGTCTTAATTTACTTTATTCGTATCAACGTTTTTTTTCTTCTGAAAACAAATGGTTCTAAATACATTTTTTTTACAAGAAAAACAAGTTAAACTCGTAATCAACACTTTAAGTCTATAATTTTTTTTCAAAAAACAATATTTTCTTTAGTGCTGAACAAGTAATTAGTGCGTGTATATTCCGACCAATTCCTGATTGTCCAAATCAATGCAATTTAGTATGGTTCTTATGCAATGATTTAAAGGTATGTTATTATTTTCGTAAGATATTAAACAGTATGAATTCAAGAGAAATATTCTTGCCCTCAAATGCCCTGGTACGGTCGAGAGTGAGGAGAGTCCGCTCTTCCTCTCGAAATGCTCTCACATGACCACGCGTATATAGCCTCTTCCAGGGAAGTCCTACTCACTACCTTCTCGTGGCGGGGGTGTTGTTTACGAAATTGATAAAACGAAAAGCGAATGTCCGGGGCTTTAGCCGTATTCCAAATCAATGGGTGCACATGGACTCCAGTATCCTGAAGGGACAAGTGGCGTATGAACAAATCGTTGGCCACCGGCTTCCATGAAACTGCATCTCCTTACGATGCTCCGCTGCCTTGTGAATCAGACCTTCAGGTCGAAGGCTCGGGATGTGGCCCCCTAAGAAAACCACCTGCTTCGGTTTGAGCACCCGGGGAGTATCACAGCCCTCACACATATCAAATGAGATTTGTGTGGTGCATATGTATTTGGTGCCTCCTTGTACCAATATCTATGTGTTAAAATAAATAAATGAATGAAGATTTATTAGTAGTAGCTTCTATCTATTGTTTACTGAGCTTTTGATATTTAAACAAGAATTTCCAGGTTTAAAATTTACTAGAAGTCGTTTTGAATATTAGTTTCTTACCTTAGTAGAAGCTATTTTAGCATCATAATAACAGCGGCCTGCTTTATAGACATTGATTCTAAGTATACTAAAATGTTAGTGTTTAAGTTCTAGATAAATATATATTTGAAGATATTCAGCTTCTAAGTAGCAGCTGTCAAATAAATTCGGTCACATTTTGTTTTCATTTGGGTACCTGATATGTTTGTCCACTTCTTATATTTTGCTGTTAATTATGAATGATAACGTTGATTGTTACACATTAATGTAAAGTTTTTTGATCAGTACTATTTTACTCAAACATTTTAGCTGGGAATTCCTCAAAGACTTCTAGATAGATCATTGAATTCTCTTCTACCTTCAATGATGGCTGGTTTAATCGAAAGATCTAAATTAATAGAAAATACTCCTGTTGATGACTTTTTTGTTAATATTCAACCGCGCCGTGCACATAGAAAGAAAAAACACGGTAAACGTTCAGCCAAAAAACATCATGCTCGTTCAAAGGCCATAATAAAGGCGTTGGATTCAGTACAAGAAAATGTTAGTCATTCGTCTGAAGACAGTGGTACTGCTGCTGATAATTTACACTCAGAAACTCAAAAGTTAATTTAGTGAATCTATTGAATCATTTTTACTACTATGTATAACTTCTGCTCATTTGTATTGTCAGTTGCTAGATAATTAAGTGACATAAATGATTGCTTAATACTTCCAATCACTTGTAAATCATTCATTTCTGCCATTACTGTTTCGTAAGCAATATTTTATGAAGATCTACAATAGACTACTAACTTAATTTATTTGTTTGTCTTCTCAGATTGATTTCACCTCTATATCCGGTAATGTATAGTTTATATTATGATTATTATTAATATTTTTTTGTAAATAAAAAAGCAAAACAGTGATAACTTTCAGATTTTTATTAAGTAAGATCAATGAATGTTTTAAGACGAAGTGAATACATTTCATTTCCTCTACTTCAAATCTTTTTCATACACAGTGATTTGTTTAAATAAAATATTTTACTGTTTCAATTTTAAGAATAATATCCACGATCATTTAAGTCACTAGTTAAGAGTAATCATAATATTCGTTGTTGTATTTTGAATAAAAATGTGGACTACCGCTACTGGTACCACCACTGTTTTGTTAAGACTAGAGAATAACGACGAGACTATAATTTATAAATGAACCAATCAGATTTAAGATAACATGTCTTGCATCTTGGCGCGAAATTCACTCATTTACGTAACGAAGTAGCATTTTGACGCTATAGCTGATGTTGATTTGTGATGAAAAGGCTAATTCTAATTCTTTACACAAACTGTTAACCCTAGTAAGTAGGTGGACATCCGCATCGTCCATAAATTTTTGGCTCACCAGAATTTACTATTACTTGCTACTTAGTGCAACGGGACAAAATTGCTCTACCAAGACAACGAGGAAAGTAAGACCGTAGATGTAGACTTGTTTCTCAATCACCAATGAAAACGATATCGAAAATATTGATGTAATATTTATTAATTATGGTGTTTGGTTTACAAATACATTATACCGCATTAAACTAGAAGTTAATTAATTATTTAATGTTTTCAATAATTATTTAAAGTAAATAATTTACCTGTTTTAACTGAACGACCTAACTTCTAACTGAAGTATTTATTTGCTTTCTTAGCATTTGTATTATGTATTTTCTAAAATTCAATTTATGAACGAATTAGATGAATAGAAACCAGATTGTAACGTTATTAATTACAGGAAACGTGTGGATATTGCTGCAGTTTGTGACGGATCCCAGTAAAAGAGCTTATTCAAGACATAACAATACGCACAGTTACTAGTGATATACCAAAATGAATTAACACTACAAACCTAAGTGTTTGTTTATGAGTAAAGCAAAAAGGTAACAAATAACACAATAAAAATGGTATATTAAATAAGAAAATGATAATAGTTGTTATGAAATGAATGTTACTTGTAAGCTTCTGAGATAACAATCAAAAATAGGTTCAATTGATGAACGGATGTTCCTCTGCATGTGATAGCATCAACAGCGTAGTGAGAAAGATTAAATCCGATAGCATTTTTCAATTAATAATCCGGGCCCAAATTCCAACGAAGTGTAGAATGGTTTAAAACAATGTCATAACACTATTATAATATTCTAATACTAGCCGTGGCCAATAAAGCAGAAGAACAGACGGCAGAGAGGCAACCGCTCAGTGGCATCCTCCATGGTTGAAGGCTACTGAGCACTTAAAGACCAGATTGTCGTAAAACGGTTGGTGCATCACCTCGACAATCCATAGGGTTTTGCAGAAGCGTTCAAATCAAGACAATTTCAGATTTGATGAGTTTTAATGACTCGAGATCTGACGCCAACTGGCTCGTTTCTGATTCATACTGAGATGTACAGGTTAAAACATCGTTGTGGCAGACCTGCATGCCACTTCTCTGTCGATGATGGAATGCAATAAGTGGTATCAAAATGTGTGCACCGAAGTCAAACCGGCTGCATATAAAAGGAAGTCGCAGATTCATAAGCACTTCAGGCAGACTTAAATATTGTGATTAGCTGGTCCAAGGAGTGGCTGATGTCTATCAACGCTGCAAAGTGGGTCTACATGAACTCTGGGGACACAAATCGATTTCTTTGCAGTCGCTTCTTACTGTTTCAGTACAGTTACAAGAATCTGGTAATGTTCGATGGGTGGTAGTCTTGGAATTCCACTGAACTAATTCTAGTCGGTGTGGTACTCATTTCTTGACTTTTACATTTTGTCATTTCAATGCGTTTGTCTCAAAACCGCAGGGTTTCTGCATAGCAACAGCTATCGAATTACCAAGCTAAATGTTGGTTGGTTGCAATGTGAAAATTATAGTTTGTAAGAAGATGAAATCGAAAGAATGAGAGGGGAACGGAGAAGATAATAGGAGAGATAGGAGTAATTACTGATACACGGCTATGATGACCGTGGTAATTTGTAAGGCGTGCATCGGACGCAGCTGGTCTAGGAGGGGATGGTGTGACGACGGATCACCGGTGAACTCGAGGAAGCTGTAAGAGGCTCATAGGGAGCCGAAGACATTCCATCCAATCACCTTTCGGAAGAATGTTCTAGAATTCCAACGTGTAGCTTCCCGATTGGATAACGCTAATAACCCCCTGTACGCGCTTTGGAAGACTGTAATGATGATTTCGTTCTCACTAAAAACTATAAATACCTGACAATTTTGTACTATGTTTGACACTGTTTGGAATAATATTCCTTTCGTTAGTCTTCTGTCTTCTTATTGCGACTTGGAAGGGTTTGGTGTTCTAGTGCTCAGTTATACGCGGTTGTATCAAGAAAAATCAGCTTTTTCAAGTTATAACAGATGGCAGTCCACGGCCGAGTATGTGTTTGTCAAGTCTCTTGGTTTGCAGAAACAGTTCGTCTCAACCCAAGTATCTTATGACTACGGAGAGTAAGGCCTTATGTAGAAAACACCGGGACTTACCAATATTTCCGCTTTTCAAACCTCGTGTGAAATCAAATTTCCTTATTACGATCAGGTCCCTCAACACATTAGATAGTCTTTTCATCTATTCTTTTCCTTCTAGACATATTATATATATATATATAACACAGAAATTTATATTTCTTATTATCCTTTTCAATTAATTGTGACTTTCGTAGCATCATTCTAAATTATTATTCCACAAATGTTTATACTAATATCCGGTTTTACTCTGTATACTATTACATAAATCTACATTTATTCATCCGAGTTCATACAATTATTATCATAGTGGAACCTTTTCACTAGGTGATCACTTCCTTTCTCTCTCTTTCTTTCTTCTAAATAAATATTATTCATAAGATTCTGAAGTTTGTAATTAAGACAATAACTTGTGTTACACTTAAATTAACTTCTCACTCTCCTTTTATCTTCACTATGCATACATGGCTCATACATATTGATATTTGGTTATACTTTGTGCTTAATTGAGACTTTCATAGCATCACTCCTAGCTATGGCTGCACAAACACTTATTCTAACGTCATGTCTTACTGCAATAATAAGTTATTTTTTATAATTTTATTTTATTTTATTTACTCATTTGGCGATACATACATAGTCGTTTCTTATTCTTCTGTGTTCATAAACACACTCATTAAACTATTTGCGTATTTCACGTCTTCTTTATATCCATTCCCTTTCCTTCTTTAAAGTCAACTCGATATTCTTCTCAATTACACAGAACCTGATTTATTATTACTATTCTATCGTCACTATTATCTTCCTTTTCTTTTTTCGAATATAGCAAATATAATGCTAACATTATTGAATCTTGTGCATCATTGCATTTTTGAAGAAACCCGAAATGGTTTGTTCACAACACTTATGTACCCAGTAGATGTTTGTGGATAATAATAATAGTTAACGGCAGTATTGTAGACAACTCTGATGCCATTTTTGAACAATTCAGCCGCCATTTCTCGCGATGCTACAACACGAAATCTATATGGAAAACATCACTTATCACCCATGGATTCAAAACGGGAACATGTATCGATATTGTCCACTATATGCCCGTTAAATTGATATCTATGCTACCAAGGATCATGGAAAAATTCATCCGCAAACAGTTATTATCATTTTTACCTCCGGCTAGCCTATTAAGCACATACCAGCGCTTTGAGTTTTATCCTGTCAGGTCCTGCTGCTTCCTCACCCTTGATTAGTCTGATGACTGTCCAGATTTCTTCGATCGTTGCTTGAGTGACGTCCATAAGAATATCTGTAGGTACTGCTTCGATATCCGATTAATTCAATGGAGCTTGTTTATTCAACTGTTCCACCCATCTCTTCCTCTGTTCTTCAATTTCAGTGATCGGGTTGCCTTCTTTGCCCTTTACCGGTATTATTATTATATTAATTATAATAATATCCCACCAGTTTCTGCGCTGTGTCATATAGCTGTCTCATATTACCTTCTGTTGCAGCTTTTTCCCCTGTCTTTGCTAGCTCTTCCACTTATTTCTGCTTCTCAACTCTAATGCTTTTTATCACTTGCTTGTTTGCTTCTGTGTACTCGGCTTGTGTCTTGATATCCTCTGCACTTTTTCGGCAAATGTTAGTTGCTGTCTTCTTTGTTTAGTGAATCTTGTCTATGGATTCGATAGAGATCCATTTCTTATGATGATGCTTCATAAGGCCCAGAACCTCCTGACACTTGAAGTTAGTGCTTCTTTGTTCCCTCCTCTTCAGTTGTCCTCTATGGTAGTTTCCTCTTCTTCGATGAGTAGATCGTGTAAGGCCTGCAAACTGTTGTTGAGAGCTATAATGAATTCTTTGAGTTTGTCAATATCTCGAATGAAACTGTATCGAACGTTTGTAATGCTGTTTGTCCAGTTGTCCAATGCTTCCTTGGTAACCACCAGGTGGTAATCTGGAGCTATGTCAGCTCCCCTCCTGGTTCTCACATCCTCCCTTGACCTTGTAAATCTTAAGTGCCTGTAGGTAACCCTCGTTCTATTGATATTAGAAACAAGACTAGTAGTGAATAAGTCTTTATTTAAGTCGTCGCTCAGTCACAGTGGAGCGTGGGATTACTTGTTCAGACAAACAAAGCTTTTCAACACTCAATGGAAGATAGGAAATATAATGCCTATACAAAATAAGAAAGTGAATGGATACTTGAACTCTATCGTTTTGACATGTACTTAGTTGTTTGAGGCCAACTCTTAACCAGTCAACCTAGGCTGTTACATTAGCTTCCCCTAGAATGGACTTCCTTAGGAACGTCAGTTCGATTAACTGATCTGCCAAAAACATCTAAGTTCTGTTTCCGCAGCCCAAAGGAGAGTTGCCGACTCGCTCAGTGTTTGACTTCCAAACACTGACGACTAACTCCGTC